AAAAGTAGATGACGTCTTTTTTGAATCATATCATTTACATAAAGTTTCTTATGCGTTATTAACCAATCACATTTTGAGCCTATATTATGCCTTGGGCTTCCAAATCATATATGATGACTCAAAACTTGGAAAAATGGAGTTATCAATCATAGATTGAGGAAACGATTTACAAGAGAAAATTCCCCCGCAGAACAAATGATCGGTCTCTTTTTACCAATAGAAGACTAACTCAAAACTAGGTTATCAAGAATAGACAAGCTTATAAAGAAATTGAATTTCAACATATGGGGAAGGATAAAGATGATGCCATACTAACAATTGGCCGCAATTAAGAATGACATCCTTGAATGCAACAATGATAAGACCCTTGGACCAGATGGCTTCACTAGGACTATTTTTCAAGAATGTTGAGAGGTGGTGAAAGGAGATTTGTTGAAAGTGTTTGATGGTTTTTCTAGAGTGGTGTGGTGAATGTTATAGCTAATGCCACTTTTATTTGTCTCATTCCAAAAAAGAAAGCTCAATTAGGATCATGGACTTTAGGCCGATTAGTCACGAGCTTTATAAGTTTATTGCAAAAGTGCTATTAACATGGCTTACAGGGAGTTCAAATGGTATTGCTTCAGGGTTTCAATGTGCATTTGTCAAAGGGAGACAATTTTTAGATGTGCCTTTGGTGTCTATTGAGGCGGTTGAAGACCATAGATCTAAAAGTGTGGAGGGCATTGCCATAAGAACGATTTTGAGAAGGCTTATGACTGTGTGGATTGAAATTTCTTCGACTTTGTTTTGGAGATGAAGGGCCACGGTGAAACGTGGAGGAGTTGGATTAAAGGTTTCCTGCAGTCTATGAACTTTCCATTCATTCTAATTGGCAAACCAAGGGGAAGGTTTGACCGTTTGAGGCAAGGGCGCTTAGACAAGGGGGATCCATTATCTCCCTTTTTGCTTACTTTGATAGTTGATAGGTTAAGTAGACTATTGGTGAGGATAGAAAGGTGTAATCTTGTGGATGAATTTGTTGTTACTAGAGAGGGTTTCGATGTCACACTTGCAAATGATACCATTTTCTGTTTCTTGGGGGATGATGCAAAATTTGGATCTTGAAAAAATTGTTCATGTATTGGGTGTTATATATGAGCTTAAGGTTAATATGTATAAGAGTATGATTATTAGAGTTAACTTGAGGCAGGATAAAGATTACAAGGTTGACTAACGTTTGGGATGCTTCGGCTAGGTAATGATAGAAGAAGTGCCAAGAAACATTAGGTAATGATTAGATACTGTTCTAATCAGGACATCCTGCTTCACAGTGGGAAACATACTTCGGCTTTTGTTGATACTCCTCTACAGGTCATACACTCTTGGTTTTGTTCAAAAAGAAATCATATGTCAGGTGTCTCAAGCGTTTTTTGGCATTTATTTTTTAAATCACAAATTTACCAGATAATCTTATTCTGCTGGGAATTCAAAGCCTAAATATGCTCTGTACCATGAACTCATTATGCAGCATCTCACTCATTATAAGTTGGTGTCTCAGTGGGTTTTCTGCTGAAGAGATTGGGGATCTAGTCTTCTTGTGACTTTGAGCATCTTTATCTCTGCCTCTTTTAACCAACAAAAACAATGATTTAGTTTGATTATATATCCTGCAGGTTCTTGGTATTCCTAATCAGTCAGAGAAAGATGAGATTGTTAAGTCAGTTATGCATCTGAAAAATGCTGAGATTGAAGAAGGGTACACCATGGATGCCGTTGTATCTCGCCAGGTATTGAAGATAGTCCTGTATTTTGCTTAACTTACAGAATTTAGTGAACAGCCTTTTTTGGTATGTTCTTTGTTATTATGCTTATTTTTGTATATATGTGCATATATTAATGTTACAGAATCTCTTGATGGATGTGAGGGATAAGCTTCTTTTTGAACCTGAATATGCTGGTAATATAAAGGACAAGGTCCTGCCTAAATCCTCTCTCCGAATTCCTTGGACTTGGTTGCCTGGTGCTCTTTGCCTTCTCCAGGAGGTACTTTTTTGGTGCTCTGTTGTAATATGGCTCCATTCTCACCTTGGTTTTGAGTGTTGCATCAGGTTTTTTTTGTTTCTCGTTTCCGTTTTAGATCTCTCTCTCTCTCTCTCAGAAATCTGGAAATGTCTATGCTTTCTTTGCAGCACGAATGCAAATACTGATTGCTATGCATAATGTAAATCTCTTGGTTTGGATTATGGCTATGATGGCATTTGATTTCTTTGATTTAGGTCGGGGAAGAGAAGCTTGTTCTAGATATTGGCCGAAGAGCCCTACAGAATCCAGATGCTAAGGCTTACATACATGATTTGCTTCTGTCCATGGCACTGGCAGAGGTAAGACAAAGCAGAAGAGGTCCTAGCTTTTACCACTTTTTTTCTGGCAGTTTTGTTATGCTTCCTTTTCTTATTATAGGTGCTTTCTTGAAGTGTGCAATTGCTAAACTTGGTTTCGAGAAGAACAATATTTCCCAAGGATTTGAAGCTCTTGCGCGTGCTCAGTGTCTTCTTAGGAGCAAAATATCACTTGGGAAGATGACGTTGTTATCTCAGGTAAAATTCCTTTTAGTTGTGTGTTTCTGCCCCCATACATTTTTATATGGGTCTCTTGCTTGTTTCCTGGTTCAGTTACTTCAGTATATCCATCCCGCTGCAACGGGAATGGGTCTGGTTGTAGATATCTGACTTGTCTAAATATACTGGTCAGGGTACACCAAAAGAATAAGACAAGAAAGACTAATAGAAAAATGGAGATTGAGAAAATAAAATTCAAATGCTCACAAAGCTCTAGTAATCTAGATGGTTAAGATATTGTTCTCTAGGTGAAACTGCTTTCATGGAAATTTTACGTTGGACCAAGAATGGTGCTATTATTTTATTGTCTCAGTTCTCTACTACTTTTACTAGCTTTTGTTTTGATGTGATTGCTTGTTTATTACACTATTTGTATTTGCAAATTGGTTTTAGATTGAAGAATCTTTGGAAGAGCTTGCGCCTGCCTGCACATTGGAGTTATTAGGCATGCCTCACACACCTGAAAATGCTGAAAGAAGACTAGGAGCCATTGCAGCCTTGCGTGAATTGCTCAGACAGGGTCTTGATGTTGAAACTTCATGCCAAGTCCAAGATTGGCCTTGCTTCTTGAATCAAGCGCTCAAGAAGCTCATGGCTATGGAGATGGTTGAACTTCTTCCTTGGGATAATTTGGCGATGACACGGAAGAATAAAAAATCACTAGAGTCGCAGAATCAAAGAGTTGTCATAGATTTTAATTGTTTCTATGTAGTGCTGATAGCTCATATTGCCCTTGGATTTTCGAGCAAGCAAACAGACTTGGTAATGCTCTTTCGAATTCTGGATTTAAACCCTTGATCTAGTTTTCCTCTAGTAATTCGGAAAATATCTCTCTGTTGCAAATATGACATGGCTGATGGCTCTGATCTAATGGATCTTGTACCGATTCTATCAAACTAATGCTTGCTTATACTATACGATCTGTTAAGTTTCATATCTAATTCATGTTGATATTTTGATCACTCTCATATAGATTAACAAGGCAAAAACAATTTGTGAGTGTTTAATAGCATCAGAAGGCATTGATTTAAAATTTGAGGAAGCGTTTTGCTCGTTCCTTCTTGGACAGGTATATTTTTATTTGCTTTTTCTTTTTTCTTTATTCTACATTTGGCCTTTCTCTTTCTGAATACTGAGGATTGTTATCCAGGATAATGAGGCAATGGCTGTTGCAAGGCTTCAGCAGATTGAATTAAATTCAAACCCCACTCCTCAAAATTCAACATTGGGGAAGGAAATAAGAGGTGTTTCAAGTGCAAACCAATCGCTGGTATGCCTTTTTTTTGTTCACCAGATTATATATTCTGATGTTTTTGCATCGATTTATGAACACAGGCATAAATTTGGTTTTTTGGTAAGCCAAATAATCAGAGTACATCAAGCTTAAATAGGTCCTTGTAATTGTCCTAAGCACCCCATGGTGCTTATAGAATCTGCCGGAGGCATATCATCTTTCAATGGTGCATAGTCCAATGATCAGTACATAAATATGAAATATATCCAGCCCACCTCACTAATTACCTTCATTTTTGTCTTTTCTTTCATTATGGTTTTGGATACGTGGATTGTCATCTATTTGATGCCATCTTCACTGCAAACTTAATATTTGTCTCCACGGTCAATATTTTGTCACACTAAAACGCTTCTTGGATTGACCAGGAAACATGGCTGAAGGATGCCGTGCTTGGCTTGTTCCCAGATACGCGAGATTGTTCTCCATCTTTGGTAATTTTATAATGATCTGATTATATATCATAATGCTCGATGGAAATAAAGATAAGCAAACTGGTAATGTGTCTATGCAGGTAAACTTTTTTCGCAGCGAAAAGCGAGCTTCTGGAAACATTCAAAATAAAAGAGCTCCACAGACTCCATCGGAGTTGAACCATAGATCACTTTCCCCTGCTATTCCATTGCATAATCGAGCTCTTGAGGAATCAGTTTCATGTACAGATTTATCTCGACATCTTGGCTCAGCGGTAAAGCAGTTAGCTCCCTCCAATTTGCAGGGCCCATTCATAGAAGGCAAGACTGACAGTGGAAGCAATGGTAGCAAACCATCGGTTCAATTGAAAAGAAATTTTGGTGCACATCACAAAAAGTTTTGGGAAATATGGTTAGCCCCAAATAACATGGCTGGAAAGATAGTTTTTGTTACAGCATTGGGATGCTTTTTGTTTGCTACCTTTAAGCTAATGGGTATGCAGTTGTGGAGGATGAGAAGTGCATCGAGATGGGATTTGAACAAACAAAGGGTGCATACAAGTTTCCTTGCCCCAGCTACAGATTCTTCTCTAGATCCAAGTTTCGAGCCTCTTTGCATTAAAGGAAATGCTGTTGCTGGTGGACTTAAGAAGTTGTTGTCAGTGATTAAGCTGCAGCCCAGGAGCCGCCCAGATGCTGCAGATTTGCAAGATTCTTGCCTTTCTGCCAGTGCAGTGTCATCTATGACCACAGTATTCAAGAGGCCAATGCCCATGGATGAAGCTGAAAACCTTGTTAAGCAGTGGGAAGCTACTAAAGCCGAAGCTCTTGGCCCTAATCATGAAATTCATGTCCTCTTTGAAGTCCTAGATGAGTCGATGCTTGTTCAGGTGAGCTGTATGGATTATTGGCGTATTTGTGTGCTTCTGAATATCCCTAAAATTGTTTATCTATATCATTTGAATCATGTGTTATTCCTGTAATAACCTGACATAAAGCTACCTCTCAAAGGGAAAAAAGGTTAATGGAAAGAATGAATTTAATGCACAATTACGGTTCTCAACTTTGTGCCAAATAAATATTTTGCCACTCCCCTCCTGAGATAGTCATCTATTCATGCAATGATTAGAGATCTGTCTCGCATCGCAATCGTGTGGAACAAGCTTTCTAGGGTTTATTTGATTTGATTTCAATTCCATTCCTTCGCTGAAGTAACAAACCTCTCAAATTTGAGTTCTTGAACATTATGTAATGGCCAGAAACCAATTGTTGACTTATACTTTTTGTGGTTCCATCAAAAGTAAAAGGATAGACAAGATCCTGCCTTTTTGTTAAACTTTGTTGATTTGGTTATTTTTTTGGTTCCTTTTGAACCCCGTCTATTTCTTGTCAGTTGCTTACTGTTAACTTGTTTTCTTTTCAAATATGTAATTGGACCACAGTGGCAAGCTTTGGCTGATGAAGCAAAAGCTAGGTCGTGTTTTTGGAGATTTGTCTTGCTGCAATTGTCAATCCTGCGAGCAGACATTATATCAGATCGGGAAGGTAAGGAGATGGCAGAAATAGAGGCTCTCCTGGAGGAAGCAGCTGAACTTGTGGATGAATCTAGGCCAAAGAACCCGAATTATTACAGGTAACTGTAATCCAAGATAATTGGACATATGATTCTGGATTTTTGCTTGTTTGAGTCATTTTAATGTCTGTAACTTCATAACTTTGGGTGGGGTTGATGGAAAACCTTAGACCAACCAGAAAGGCTTGAGGAGACCAGCAATGTCAGCCAAACCCATCCCATGGTTGAAGTTCAAGAGGTGTTGGGTGAGGTAGGCTAGTGTCTGGGCTATCATGGTGGTTATTTAAACGTAAACTTTCTGTGCATCTTATTTCTCGTATCAGTCAGTCAAAAATGTATTACAATTGTAAGTTTGTTTTACAAAAAGACAGGTATAGGGGATTGAGGAATTGGAAAATGAGAATCACTCAAACAATCAATATACTTAGAATCATAATTTTGGCACTGTATTTTATGGAACATGTGGAGGCAATTATCTTGTTTGTTTTTCAACAAAATACAAAGTGTGTGAAAACTAGTTTCTCTCAGTTTTTAAATGCTTGTGCATTACCCTTGACATATGAAATAGATGTATGTAAGCATAGCTTTGCAGCATTTAACTTGCGTTTGAGTACTTGAACTTGGTCATTGGTCAAGTCATGTGTCCAAGCTTCAGATTCATCTATGTTCTTAGTTCGAGAACACGAGGACATGGCTAAATTTTTAAGTATTCTTTAGTATAATTATTCTCTTTTGTTGGGTAAAATGGTGTTCTAATGTAGCTCAGAGTTTTCGAAACTTCAATCTTTGGAAGTTGCCATGTGACTAAGTGAACACAATAGAAGAGTAATCAGACATGCTTGGTGCTAGAGTTGTTGAATACATCTTCGACTCGGATACCCATGTGTTTGTGTTACAGGTACTCAAAGTATGCAGGAGAGTCCATGTTAGACCGACTAGGTCATTATCTATATTTAGAAGTATTATAAGTGATATGAATAATGTCAAACTGTGCTTGTGCTTGGTCAGCCGAAGGACTTGCCTGAATCCCAATCCAACCATAATTTTTGTTTGTCTTTGAATGAAGTCTAATCCTGATGTGAAAAACCTCGTTGCAAACTCTGGTTCAACTGTTAAACCTGCCGAAGTTGCAGTCCTTTTGTTACTTTTTTTGTTGTGAAATCAAATCCTTCTCAAATGTTAAATAATTTGCATGCTTCCTTCAATTTCTTAATTTAGGGAATTGCTACCGATACTCTGGGTGTTGTTAATACAACCTATCTCCTTCTGCTAAATTTCTCTTTGCAGTTCTCTCTTTCATTAGCATTTGTTATTTGTGTGTATATATATTATTCTCAATTTTGGCTGAAACTTTGACTTACTGATTGCAGCACTTATAAAATTCGTTATGTTCTAAAGAGGCAAGATGATGGTTCGTGGAGGTTCTGTGAAAGTGATATTCGAACGCCATCATAACTTGTTGAGAAAACAATTGCTAACATGATGTCCAACTCTCAAATGTCCATACAAAGTTGTTTCATTTGCCTTGTAGACAATAGTTGAAGTAGAGACCATCTGCCATGAAAGACTTGATGATGATTATTATTTTTTTTCTTTTCGTTTTCCAGATTAGTTGAGTCATGTATTTTTTTAGCATACACTAGGCAGGAATTCCAATTGTCTGTTCTGACACCTCCCTCATGCATCTGGGAACAGTTGGTGCTTGTTATACCAGGTGCTTATGTAAGAAACTGATTTAATTTGTTCAAGCAACTTATTCTGATGGCTTAGAAACTGTTCCTATCCAATATGTGTTGTCTCCAACAGTTATGAATGCTGCTTCTATAGATTCAGGCATACTGATAGAATGTGTTTGTTAATGTGTGATCACTTGGGAAAGGCAATAAATAAATAAATATGAAGATTCATTTGATTCAATTCCCAAAAAATGGACGATTGAGATCTTCTCCAATACGTTCTCTCTTATTTTTTTTTATTGAATTATCTATCATTAATGTGAATGGGACCCATTGTTTATAATTGGATTCTATATTTATTAACTTACATTTGACCTGCCACTCATTCTGTCTGTTTTATTTTGAGTAAATATTCGATGTAATGCTGTTACTACATCATTATCATTACGTGATGTTATTATTTAATGAAAAATGACTAAATAGATAAAAACAAACCTTATTTCTTTAAATGTATAGTTATTACATTACATACAAGGATAGTTATGAACGCATATTCACTTGTTATTTTATTAGACACCATTGCGTGAGAGTGAAAATGAGAATGAGAATGATGATGTGATGTTATTGTTACATTAAATATTTTGTTGTTTATGGGGTGCCAAATAAACAGCGTGAAAAGTGGTATGTTGGGTAGAATGTTTGATTTTTTTAATCCTCCATCATTTTTTTTCCATATTTGAGCTAGGTTGTCATGTTTCTGTATGCTTTACTATTAGTTTAGTTGCTTTTATTTTATATTTTTTAATATGTCACTCCATAAATCAAGCGGGTTTAGAATTACTACTATGTTTAAATTATATTTAGACCCCTTGAACTATACCTCTCGTATCATATTTTCTCTTAAACTATCGACTTTCTTATATTGCACCTTAAATTATTGGTTTAAATTTTACATTGTCCAAATTTGTGCAACAAATCAGGGCAAAAATAGAATCCCACAATGTTGGATGATGAGGCATTTCCCTTCTTAGTTGGGCATAATTTCATTTATGTCTTAATTTGCCTTTAAAATATGGACAAAAGTCTACAATTGGAGCAATGGGAAACTCAAATTGATAGTTTAGTGTAATGTGAGAAAATTGATGGTTTAGAGGGCAATGCAAAATAACTAATATACGATAATTTGCTCTGTCTGCCGTATTTTGCTCAATCAAATAGAGGGATTTGATTCCTTTTCAATTTCACAAGAATTAGAAGATCCTTCAATTCACTTTTTAATGGTTAAGATTTGTAATCATTAGTAGATTTAATAAATTTTAAATTTTTAAAATTTAGAAAACTTTTTGAATTAGTTAAATCTATTTACGTGTAGAGATCTTGGCTAGAACTAAAAGATTCTCTAACTCTTAAAAAATTAGAAGAAAGTCAAACGCTTATCGATTTTATTTTTTTAGTTGGATAGTGACATCATGTTACAATGATGACATAGTATGACTATTACATTAACTATTTACTCAGCCTATGGGCAAAGTTTTCTAGGTGATCGAAAATCTTTTAAATGCAGAATCACATTAGACATATCGTTGCAGACTGTTGCTTGTATAATAAGAGAGATTTTGAAAATGAAAATACTATATGGATTTCAAAAGTTGATACCATTTGTTCGATTATAACTATTGAATAAGTGGTATGTCCCAATAAATACTATAATCGATAATTAAATTAATAACAATAATTAATATAGTTAACAAATAATGTCAACTTTTAGAGTTCAAATAACCTCTCTTTTTTGAAAATTAGCTAGATCCATAATTTCATATCGACCCATAACTAACCTCGCCCAAAATTGGCCTATTCCCTCCTTGACATGTTGATCTTACAGCCCATCCACTCTCCATTTTATACTCCAAACCCCTTCTCATGTGTCCCTTCTTTTTAGGGCTAGTTTGAATGAATTTTTTGAGAGGGTTTAAATTGGTTTTTTCAAACACTTTTAAACTTAAACTCCTATGTATAAAGATGAGATTTAACATGCAATTTGGTCTGTACCTATGTTTGGTATTCAATACATACACATGTAAGACCCACGAATATATCATAATTATTAATAACTATTTATTCTATAAAAAACTATTTTACCCTTAATCAATCCAATTCATACTCGTGTTAACGAATACAATTGTCTTTTGTATTTTTAATCCCTTAATTCACCTTTCCAAACCCACCCCTTAGGTTTGACGAAATCCAAGACCATGAGTTTAATATACGGGCTAACTACAGACCGGTTTTGAGAACCTAATATTGAATTTTCAATCTAAACATAAGGTTTATAGATCATTTGGACTACTTTTCTCAAATCCATCTTGCCAAGCTCTCATACCTCTTTACCAAACAACCCTTTAGGACTTATTTGGATGAATTTTGGGAAGGGGTTTAGATTAATTTCTCCAAACCTTTAGAAACTCAAACCCTTCTTTACAAGAGATAAGATTTTAATATTCAATTCGGTTCATATCCATATTTAATATATAACACATACACATGTAAGACCCACAAATATATCATAATTATTAATAACTATTTATCTTATACATAATTATTTTACCTTTGATCAATCAAATTCATATATATGTTAAGGGGTACAATTATTTTTAACATCTTTCTAAACCCACCATTTTTCTAAGTTTGACAAAACGCAAGATCATGAACATAGGTGGAGGGAGGTTGGGGCCAGGGTGGGCACGTGTCCCCCTCAATTTTTTTTTTATTAGTTAGATATATGTATTATATATTTATACATATATATTATGTGTGCCCCTCATTTATATTAGACCTACATTATTTACCCAAAATAATTAAAAAATTGAACTCACTATTATCTATCTAAACTTATTAAAAAATCAAATATTTAACTTATCATAATCCACTCAAACCTATTAAAAAAATAAAACTTTTAGCCCATCATTAAAAATAAAATTTTTGGCCAAATATTAAAAACAAAACTTTTGGCCCACTTGACTAAAACCTATCTTGTCTTTTTTTTTTCTCTCTGTATCACTCACTCTCAACTGCCCAGCCACAAGAAAAAGAGAAGAAACAGAGAAAAACTCGACATACGAGAAACTCAGTTTCTTGAGTTTTTTTGTCCTTCCTTGCACCAACCTATAAAATTATTTTATACATTATATTTACCCTCTAAATTTTGAAAAATTTTAATAATGGTTTTAGTCTTTTTTTTTTAATAAATTAGTGGACCACTAATCCTCTAAAATAAATATGTTAGTTTTGGATTGAGTCAATGTTTTATTTGTATATTGACAAAAATACAATATTTTTCTTTATCTACCACAATGTTCGTTACTTTTTAAGAATAATTTGTAGTTTTCATTTTCTATTTTTTTAGTAATTGTAGTCTATAACCTAATAAAATACGAAAATTAATTTACATTTAATTCATATACAAATTTTTTTATATTTTATTGAAATATATAATTAGGTTAAAATGTACTAAAAAAATTATTTTATGTCTTTTTGTTAAAATTTTGTTTCGGCTAAATAAAAATTGAATTTATTATTTCACAATAATTTAATGTTGATTCTTAATTTTTTTTTTTATTTTTGAACTGAATTTTTTTGTATTAATTTCGGCTTAATATTTTTTTATACCAGTTATATTTTACCACTATTATAGATATTCATGGCTCTATCACTGATAATATATATATATATTTGAAATTTTTTATGTTAAATAAACTTTATATATCAAATATAATATAATAAATATAAATATGTTATATAGTGTAATTTGTTAGAAGAAAAAAATTTATAGTACATAATTAAAGTGTCGAAGAATAAAATTTTTGCCTCCAACCCTCATCATGAGTTTCATATCCGAACCAACTACGAGCCGGATATGAAAACCCGACACCAAACTTTCAATCTAAATTCGAGATTTAGGGATTATTTGGACTCATTTTCCCAAACCCCGACTTGCTGAACCCCCGTACCCCTTACCCCTTACCCCTTACCCCTTACCAAACAGCCCTTAGTGTTTCACTCAGCCTTGTGCTGATTCCTCCTACGACTCGTCATCCCCTTCTCTTTCAACGATTCTAAAATATTCACACACACACACACACACACACACACACACACACACACACACAAACAGATCAGATTCAAAACCGGTCTAAACACAGTGTGCTAGGGTTTTTCCCATAACCGAACACAGACGAGACAAGCCACAGTTTTTCACCATGAAAAAAAATCCACAAATGATCTTATAATTCCCAAAACCTCACCTTTTTCTCTCTCTCTCTCTCTCTCACAGACACACATACAAAACACTTCTTCAGATCAGTTGGTCGCATCAAATATGGGGGTGAAAATGGAGAAGAAGGAGGATGTACCATCATCAACCAATTTCTTCTCCCTCAAAACATTCAAGCTGAAAACGAAGCAACAGGAGCTGTTGATCCGGGTCACGATCCTCTTCTTGGTCTATATTTTGGCTTTTATCACTAGGCTTTTCAGTGTGCTACGTTACGAGAGCATGATCCACGAGTTCGATCCCTACTTCAATTACCGTACCACTCTGTTCTTGACTCAGAAGGGTTTTTACGAGTTCTGGAACTGGTTTGATTCCGAGTCTTGGTACCCATTGGGTCGGATCATTGGTGGGACTCTCTACCCCGGTCTCATGGTCACTGCTGCTCTGATTTATTGGGCTTTGCGATTCCTCAGGTACATTCATTTTTCATACATTGAAGAAGGTCAAATTATGGATTTTTCTCTGTTATTTGCCGAGCTTTATTGTTTCTTCTTAGCATTTGTTAAGTTTTTGCTTTAATTCTGAATAATTACTTGATTAGTTTTACACATTTGATCACTTTTCCCACCCCATTCCATGGCCTCTTAATTGCTTAGATTCAAAAAGACAGACATATGTGTATATACCCACATAACAATTATTTTGGAAAAATTTTTGGCAGTCTCATGCATTTGAACTTTGATGGATTGCCTTACCTGTAAAATTTATAAATGATTATGAGATTAACAAAGAACCGCTATTTACATTAACAAATGAAGTATAAGTAAAAAATTGTCAATTTGCATTTAGATGGGAGTATTTTTTGGTGAAGGAGTAGCTTAAATTTGAAGTTTTGGATCCAAATGATTCTTAGATAAGAAGTAATTATGTGAGAAAGTGATTTGAGCGAAATTATGTGAAACTTTGAATCTTTGTTGTTGAAATCAATAAAGAGAAATGCTACTAAAGAGGAGTGTCATAAGCGTCATGAGGACGGTTCCGTGGCAAGATAAAATATCAATTTTTATTTTTTTGGGTATTTGAATGTTTCTGAAAAGGGCTCTCTTTATTGAATTTTGTGGTTCTAAATCCTTAACAGAAACATTCAAAACTTCTTCTAGCTAGTTTGCATTTAGTGTCGCATGCGTATGTTGTTTATTCTGACCATTGAATGGGTTGCTTACCAATTTATCAGGTTTGCAGTCCACATTCGTGAGGTCTGTGTATTGACTGCCCCATTCTTTGCGTCCAACACCACTCTAGTTGCATACTTCTTTGGGAAAGAGCTTTGGGATTCAGGCGCCGGGCTTGTCGCTGCAGTGTTGATTGCCATTTGTCCCGGTTACATCTCGAGGTCTGTGGCAGGGTCGTATGATAATGAGGGGGTTGCAATTTTTGCTCTACTGCTTACATTCTATCTGTTTGTTAAGGCAGTGAATACGGGTTCCCTCGCTTGGGCTTTGGCCTCAGCTTTTGGGTACTTCTACATGGTTTCTGCATGGGGTGGCTATGTTTTTATAATTAATTTGATCCCGCTGTATGTGATGGTTCTGTTGATTACTGGGAGATATTCAATGAGGTTGTATGTAGCATATAATTGCATGTATGTGTTAGGGATGTTGCTCGCAATGCAGATTCGATTTGTGGGTTTTCAGCATGTTCAGTCTGGAGAGCATATGGCTGCGATGGGTGTGTTTTTCTTGATGCAGGTATCAAATTTTGACTCTGTCCAGTTTGCAGATGACTGCTTCAAATCTTTTGCTTCTAAGTCCCTTTTTTATGTGGAGAAGTGTCGTTGCAAGTTACTTGCATTGTTATTATATCTTCCTTTGTTTTCAATAGTTGATATTATTATTAAAAATGATTTTGCATAAAATCTCTGATTGCAAAATTTCAATGCTTCTTTCTTTGTTTATGTTTCCCATATGTTCTCTTTGCACGACTTATGAATAGTTCTAAAAGTGTATTCAACTCAAAGTATTCAATTTATAATTTTCAGAAAGAACTAGTATCTAGTTGCTCAAAAAGAAAGAGCTAGTATCTACTACTTTATACTTATAGTTATGTATCCTTCAATTGTAGTAGACCAATGAGATTCAGTTAGTAGAGGCTTTAGTGTGTGTTGGTTGGCTTACTTGTCTTATTGCTTCATCCATCTTACAACAATATGGAGACTCCAACTTGGTGTTTGACAAGTATGCTAGACATTAGAATGTACAAGTAAGATATGTTGAAAAGATTCTTTCAAACAGCCAAACTTCATATGTAACCCATGATAAAAAAAGGTAATATTAACACCACTCTCAGAAGCAACCACCGTCCTTTTTTACCAAGATATTCATAATAATAAAAAGCTGTTTGTTTAAGAGTCCTAAAAAATGTGAAGCACAAAAAGGTTAGAAATTTGAGTTTAGTTTGCTACAATCCATAGAAATGAGGTTAGATTTTCTTCTCTAGTTCTTCTAGAACTGTGTGGAACCTGTTGTCTACTTGCGTTTTATGCTATTTTCACGTACAGATAAACAAAAGTCATTGTATTTGCTATTATAGTTAGTACGAGGTGTGGATTTTGTGCTCATTTGTCTTCCCTTTCAAATATCACATTTCTATTCGGGAGAGAAGTTTTTGGATGGGAGTCAACTCAGTGAAGCAGATTAAAAAACACTATCATTGTTTGGATCTTTGTCTGCAATACAGTGATAATTATTATTATTTTTTTTGCTATTTTCCTTCTTCGTTTAGTTTGAAGTAGCTTAAGAACCTCACACAATGTTACAATTCACCTCAAACATCTATACATTTAAGAGCATGTGGGATTGATACGGTGTGACACCCCTAACTCATATCCGTCCGTGCAGGTATTTTACTTCCTAGATTGGGTCAAGCATTTGCTAAACGATCCAAAGCTGTTTCAAGCCTTTTTGAGAATCACTGTGACATGTGCAGTAAGTTTGGGTGCTGTTGCTTTTGGATTGGGCACAGCATCTGGGTATATCTCCCCATGGACAGGTCGATTTTACTCTCTCCTGGATCCAACTTATGCAAAAGATCACATTCCCATAATAGCATCTGTCTCTGAGCATCAGCCTACGGCGTGGTCATCTTTCATGTTTGATTTCCATATACTGCTTTTCCTTTTCCCAGCCGGCCTGTATTTCTGCTTCAAGCGGTTGTCTGATGCCACAATATTTGTAGTGATGTATGGTCTCACAAGCATGTATTTCGCTGGTGTCATGGTTCGTTTAATTCTTGTTGCTACACCTGCAGTATGCCTTATTAGTGCTATTGCAGTCTCAGCCAGTGTAAAGAATTTAACTCAGTTGGTCAGGGCAAAGAGCAAGTTTACTCATACTGGTTCTGGCAAAGGAACGACTTCTGCAAAGGCTTCTTCTAAGGTGAGGTCCTTTTCATATTTCTTATTCGTGCAAAGGCTTCTTCTTCTAAGGTGGATGCGTTTATCCGTGTTATGCAGTGGTTTTGAGTAGGATACTTTTGTTGTACGTTTAGTAAGATTTTGCATCTGCGAAATGATGTCATTTGGCTTGTAGTCATTTGCAAGTGGTCAACTGGAATTTTTTTTTCATGTTTTGCTCTTGAACTTTGTTCTCTTTAGTGATATGTGAAGTTGGGAAAAAAGTAAATTTGTTGCTGGACAAACCTATATTCACTTAATGTGCTAATTTGGGAGTTTTTTTCCTGTTACGAGATACAAATGCTTCACATCTTTGAGGAGGTGTGGACATGTACTGATATATGTCCTCTCTCTTCAGACGTGGTTGCAAATTTGCCATGTATGAGTTGACTACTATGATCAAAATGTTTTTTATTGGTCTCCATCACTATTACTTATGGTGTGGAAAGATACATAGTCAACTCAAAGGATGAGTGTTTCCTAGTAGAACAAAGCAATCATTTGGAAACAAATTTCTATCCTTAATTGGCAGATTGAGCGAGAATTGGGGGCATGCTTATCATACAGCAATACGTGCAATAATTTTGGTTGATTGTCTTCTTATTTGTTTCCCAAAAATTGAGGGGCAGTCTAACAGTTTATATCAGTCTTGGTGGGTCTCCATCTGGGCAATTTGATTCCATTCGATGGTGCACTGCAAGCATCAATGAGTCTCTTTTGCCTCCATGTAGTCAAAGTCTTAAAACTGAATAGATGAACATCTTCCACATGTCCAGACCATACACTATGCAATGTTGTAGAACTAGAGCTCTTTAAGTAGGTAATCTGCTATTTAATCTCTATGTGGATATCACTTGTAACTTATGTGACTCTGGTCTACCAAAGTTGTCATCTTATTACTCTAACAGTGGTTCTTAGCTGGAAAACAAAGAATGTTTACACCTATTTGTTGCACAAACAGGCTTCAATCGACCAGTCATTACCTTTCCAGAGAAATGGTGCTATTGTGTTACTTGTTGGTGCTTTTTACTTGCTCAGTAGATATGCCACCCACTGTACATGGGTTACATCGGAGGCATACTCGTCTCCCTCAATTGTCTTGGCCGCAAGGGGTGCCCATGGCAACAGGGTCATATTTGATGATTACCGTGAGGCATACTTTTGGCTTCGGCAGAATACTCCTTCAGATGCTAAAGTTATGTCATGGTGGGACTATGGTTACCAGATTACTGCCATGGGAAACAGAACTGTGATTGTAGATAACAACACCTGGAACAACACACATATTGCTACTGTGGGACGTGCTATGTCATCTTATGAGGACGAAGCATATGAGATAATGAGGTCACTGGACGTGGATTATGTGTTAGTTGTTTTTGGAGGTGTCACTGGCTATTCTTCTGATGACATTAACAAGTAAGTGTTTAGTTGTTTCACGGGCACACTTATTGTTCCTTTTCTGATTGGGATTGGCTCACTTTCTTGGAAGATATTAATTTTCATTCTTTTGACAGCTCTTGCTATATCTGGAACAGGCCATCTCTTATAATAACTGAAATATGAAACTGTTCTTTCTTTCTTTGACAAAAGGGTTATTATTTGAATTGTATATGCACATGGTTATTATTTCAATAACACTTTCAAACCACTTGCAATATCCCATGCAATATCTTCCCCTTCTCCCTTGTTTTTGGAATCAGCATTGTCTTCCTGTTACGTGATCTTGTCAAAGTATCAAATACAAGAAATATAGTTCTGGAGGCCCAATGGTTCGACATTTAAACAATTATAATATAATTGCACATAATTTGAAATCCAAAAGCTGCTTAGATCTGTTAAAGTAAGCATATATACACATCATTATTTGGTGACATGGCTTGGAAAGTGGTATTAGCATGTGCATACAAACTACTTTCTTTTGTAGTAAATTGTATAACACTTCAAATATATTTTTGGCTATATTCATTCTACCATCCAAATTAACAGTTTTGAGGTTCTTGCGAGGACCACTTCTTTTACTTCTACTTTTTTGCCCTTTTTCTTCACTTTTCGTCCCTGTGCTTCCACTAACTGTTCATTTTAATCCTAGATTTTTGTGGATGGTGAGAATTGGAGGTGGGGTTTTCCCTGTCATCAAGGAACCAGATTACCTTGTCAATGGCGAGTACCGTGTTGACAAAGGTGCAGCACCTAAGATGTTGAACTGTCTTATGTAAGTTGCTTTAGCACTACTGAAACGATTACAAATATATGTAGGATCATATTTGTATGTATTGCCACCACCACCATTATGGTTTGCATATATCAGTAAGCTCAAGCAATAATCATTAATAGCTACCAGGGACACTTTCAGAATACAGCCTCAACCTATGTGTATACTTCTATGTTAAGGGTGGTTTACTCCTGTGGTGTAATTTCTTGACTATGAGCTTTCCTCAAATTGAATGTCTTGTGTATGTGGCATTTTTCATTTATAGGTTCTTGAATTGTTGAATTTCATAAACAGGAGTGAGTTTAGTTGTTAGTAGGTGCTTTTGTTCGGGGTTTTGATGGGAATCTCTCTCTTGCTCTCTCTTGGTATTATGTGGGTGTGATTATGACTTTTATCTAAGCCAACTTTGACTTGACTAGAGTCCTGGTGTATGTTTTCTTCAAACTACACACTTTGCAGTGGCTTTATTAATGTCTTCACATATTTATTGAGTCGGTCTATCTTAATTGTTTCATATTTAGTGATTAAACGCTGGAGTAGTGGGGAATGCTTTCTCTGTGTGTGTATGTGCACGTGTGCTCGTGCCCTTGGCTTTAATATTCTGAGTTTTTAGAAGTGCGCACTGGAGTAATTTAAAACTTATGCAAACTGAACACACACTGATGAGCTACCTCTTTTTTTAATTTGATACGTCTGCAAATTCACTTTTTCCCTTAGTATTTTTTAACTTGAGGTTTTATAGTCGTGAAGAGAGAGAGATACACAATAATTAGTTTTATAGTCGTGGAGAGAGAGAGATACACAATAAATAGTAGGAGATATGAGATATTCAAAATCGCGTGATTTAAGGGGTCAAAACTCTTTGCGCGGAAAATTACATTTTGGAGGGTCAATTTTGTCTCTCGGATTAATTGTGAATTTTTACCAATTAATTTGGTACGGTCAAACAAATTTATAAGGTGGGGGGATTCAAAATCTTTTGTATTTTATTATATAGAGTTAGGACTAGGGTACTCCATGCAAAACACTCTCCTTTTTACCATGACTAAAATATTTACGGCTGTTAAAGTATCTACCGTGGTTAAAAAGTAAGTATGATTCACATGTTTACGGAGATTAAAAGATTAAATGTAAATAGACAGATTAACTGTGGTTAAAAAGTAAAATTATAAGTTGTAAGATAAGCCGTAGGATGTAAATGATCTGGACCGTTATGCTTTATGTAAATAGAAGTCTTTTTTTTTGTATTGAGGTATGCCATCTCTCTAGTTTTTTCTCTTCTCGGCTGCTTTTTCTGGGATAGCAAAATAATTATGCCTAGCCAATGTTAGATCAATTATTCATTTTGTGGTGCATTATTAGTTTTAGTGGAGTGATTAATGTTGGTAAGGGGTGGCAAATGTTTTCATCATTCGTTTGATGTTTGGGATATATGGCTCATCATTTTTGTGAGTTGTCTACAATAATTTGGTTAATTTCTTAGAATTCCTGGGCAATTCGCTAATGAGAATATTTTGCATGCTATAGATTTGACGGATGAAGAAGAGAAGTTTCTTTCATGATATGGGTTTACCTGATTGTGTTATGTACGTAATTTTATACTACAATTTTGTGGAAGAAAATTTTTATTTGTCTGTTCTGGTGGTTAGGTACAAGCTATCTTACTATCGATTTGGAGAGGTGACAACAGAATATGGCAAACCTCCAGGGTGAGTTTTTCATTACCTTCTTTTGCGGCATGCATTGTCTGTGTGCATGCAATTATATTGAGAAATTTTGTACTGTGATTTCTACTTCAGAATGTGTTTTTCACATGGCAGTGGTCCATGTCTGTTATTTTGTATCTCCAGATAAGACATTGCTAATAATATACTGTGCTGGCTTTTCACATGGCAGGTATGATAGAGCAAGGGGGGTTGAAATAGGAAATAAGGATGTGAAGCTTGAATACTTGGAAGAGGCATTCACGACATCTAATTGGATAGTTCGGATATACAAAGTCAAACCGCCAAATAATAGATGGTGATCAAAGACGCCTCTCTTACCTACTCTGTGCGACAGGAACGTATCGCGATAAGATTAGCCCAGAGTACTTGAGCCTTGGCAATAGTAAAACCGATAGAACCAGATTTTTGCTGCTGAGTTTGTGTTTGTAACGACAGTTGAGGCTCCAATGTTCTGAAATTTCGTATTTTTGCAGATTTTTAAGTGCCTTTTTACTCGGTTAATTTAACGTTCTAAACCACTGCTAAAATCTTATGGTTAAGTTAAGTAGTTGCCTGGACGATTGTCTTGGAGCACAATGTAGCTGACTGGCTTTGTGCAATTAATAGTCTTGATCTTATTTATTTGTTTTTTTTTTTTTTTTTTTCTGCCGGTGCTCTTTTATCTTATAGGTTAGCATGGTCAGCATGTGGACTTTTGTTGTTTTTCTGAGTAGATGTAGAGATTCCACTGTGAATTATTTGATGTCACTGGCCATACAATGCGTCAGCACATAGATGGTGTTGGTTGTGTCATCGATTTGATTTGGAGAGCATTAAGACGCATCGATTGTAACGCCGCATGGCGTAAAGTATTGGGAAATATGCATAAAATAGTTGATAAAAGAAGGGCACAATCATTACTTCAATGCAATGAGTATGAATGAATTATCATAAAAGAAATGAGAGGTTAGTTTCACATGATAAATATTTATTATGAGTCATTATATTGTTGGCGATATAAGTTTAGTTTATGGTCCGACCTTTCAAAAACTTCATTTTGGTTTTTATAATCAAACTCTTTCAAGTTTATGTCTTCATCAACATCTATATAATAAAATAAAGCATAAAAAATAATTTTTATTTTTTGCGATTAAAATTATTTTAAATTTTATTCTAAAGTTAATTCGATATCTAATATTAACTCCCCAAATTTAATGAAAAAAATAGACCTCGAATTGACTTTTCAGAAGTGTTTCTAGGTGGTATGATAGCACTTTTAAAAAAACAAATGGTGCTTTGAATAATTTATTTTAATTACTTCTAAAATAAGTTAAAAGTAGTTTTACTATTTAAATAAGTAAGTGAAAGTAAAAAAAAATAACTTGTACTGCTGTTGCTACCACCCCCCACCTTTTCTGTCACAACCACCATCACTCACTGTCATTTACTACCACAACCAACCATCACTCGTTATCGTCCACTACTATCATCTACCCTCACCCGTTATTGCCCACCACCACCACCACTCACCCCCAACACACCTATAACCACCACCACCACCATTTGTTACAATCGTCGCTCACAAGCACCTGTCGTCGCCCATCACCATCGTTACTATCCACCACCACAATCACCATCAACATCACTGTTGCCACCCACAACTGTCACCACTACCACCACAACTATCACCCACCACCACTATTTCATGTATAAGATAAAGCATTGCCTATATTTATTGCCTATTTGGTTATCAATTGTTAGGCCATTAGCTTTTAATACAAAAGATGAAATACACTATATAGATATATGTAAGCACTTTTGAAAAGCTAAGAGGGAGGCATAATAGTTTTTAAAACCTAAAGAGGGCCACAAGGGAGCTCCGTCCAGTCCACAAAAGAAAAAATCAGTTCGATTTTAATTTTTTTTCCCCTAGGGGGATGGCTGATCTCGCTGATTTGGATGAATTTTGTTTCACTGTGAGAGTAAGGGGAAAGATACCTGAGAGAGATGCTAAAGTCGAGGGCCTTGAAGTCATTAAAGCCGGTGCTATTTTCCGTAAATGAGAGTGTCCCCTCGTTACTTAGCAACCTTTGGGGGTATGGATGTAACTTAGCCTTTAATTAATGAAAAATATTTAAAATATAAAAGTTAAAACTCAAATTTATATCATCCATTGGATGAATGTGTGATGAGTAGATTCCACTAAAAAAATTGATAAAATTCACTCATTTAAGAGATGATCTATATTTGAATTGTAATTTTTTGGATTTCATTTAAATTTTGTAGCATTACTCTTAATTTATAGACGGAAGCATCTATAACTTGAACTCTTCTTATTGATAAATAACAAATACTAATTACCCACAATATAAAAAGATCAATAAGAGTATCCTAAAACTGTCGGTATATGGCATCAGACAAGCTTGGTTAGGCTAAGCTTACTTTTAAAAACCATGTTTGGCCAAAAACACCTATGAGGGGTAGCAAAAGCAGTTGAAGTACTAAACGAAATAGGAGTTAGCTAGGTAATGGCTCAAGCAGTAAACTCGGATTTGACAAAAATCTCATCCTTTTCAGTAATGCGAAAGCCAAATTTGCCCAAAAATTGGACACTATTGGGAGCAACAAACTCGGGTTTGGCGAGAATCCTACCTTCTAGTGTCCCCATCCCCATAGAAGTGTGAAGCAATTGCCCCGTACATACGTAGCTCAGTAATACAAGAGGATGGGATGCATGGCAGAGGATTGGATGCACCCAAGGATGATCTATTTGTCCCCATAGGAACCTCGTCGAATACAACCACAAGTCGTCCCGGTAGACAGCTACCTTACTTTTTGCATCCTGGTGGACGGGAGAAAGTAACAATAGGCTATATAGCAGCGTAGAGACATATGACATATGCAGCCAACTACCGCGATTAACTGTTTACTTCCGCTAGTAGGGCTAATCAACAGGACCATTGAGATAATCATCCGATAAAGAGAGAAAGTTTAACAGAGTGGAAGACATGCTTTAAACAAAAAAGCAGAGGAGAGAGCAAATAGGCTTTATATTGCACGAGGGTTTGTGGCAGCATAGCACGATAGCCTTGATGCAAGAGGTTTCTGATTAACAGTCAACTGCAGATGGGATGCGCCGTAGAAGAAAATGACATCCAGAAAACATGAAATCCACAAAAGGATTAAATAATTATACAAAAATATGCCAACCAGGGATGCACAAATTCTGTCATGAAATGATGAAATTCGAAAAAAATTCAAAAATTGAAAATTCAGAATAAAAGGTTTTACCTACTATTATTAATATCACCAAACACTAAAATGCATATCTCGGTAATCTTCAATGTATAAGATCTTTCTATGTTCAATTTTGGTACAGACTTGAACCATCCCATTCTTCCCCTGCCAAAAAATATAAACAAAAAAACTTTATGAGCGAACTGTAAAAGACGATCAAATTAAAAGCAGGATAGTGCAGAGCATCCACCAAGCTCATAAACTGCCAACATAACCTAAAACACCAAATCTAAAGACAAATATGCAGAAGACAACCACACCGAAAACCTACAGGACAGTAGCGAGGACAACTAATGATAACCCCACAGAAGTCACCTAAATCAATGGCAAGCAATTTTTTAATCAACAGAATCACACATGGCCTCCACTGTTGTACACATTGGTTATGAAAGTTAAGAAAACAGCTCCCTAAGATAACAACCATAAACTTGCAATCAGATTGGATCAAACAGATTTTAGGACCACGACTTTGGCTTTTGTGACCTGCACTGAGTCAATTCACTTTATTGTGGTTAAGCCAAATAACCCATGACCTGGCCACCAAGCCAGCTCAACAGCCAGTTCAGATCTGGCAGCTACAGAATGAGCATGCAACCAATTATTAGATCCATGAATCTTCCATAATAGGACAATAAAAAGTGCATTCATCTGTTTTTATTATTATTTCTCAAATTCCTAGTTTAAGATTACAAATGTTGTGTCAGGTGCTGTCATTCGTGACAATACAATACTTGTTTTCTTTTTCTTTTTTGGAAAGTGACAATAAAATAATTCAGCCACAGATAACGAGCGGTGTCGTGGTTGCGAGACAATAACTAAGCAATATCTATTGAATCTTGGATTTAATAAGCACCAACAATGAGAACAGCCAAAATGGAATAATTCTATTTGTGCCATTACGTCTATTAAGTGTCCCAACAATAGCCTACTGTTTAGCCTAAGAAACACCGCCAGTTACCAAAAGTAAACATCAAGTGTGATGTGTCACTCTGGTAATTTTGCATATGTTAGGTAGTCATCAAATATTATACATATACTTTCTGTAATGCAAACTCCATAGTAAAAGAAGAAGAAGAAGAAGAAAAAGAAATACTGCAATATAAGAGCTCATAATGTAAAAGATGGACAAAAACAGTTTGAAACACGATAAATTGATCAAGAAATATCATGAAAGTGGCAGTCTAGAAGTACCTTCACATTGCAAACTCCAAAAGCAATCTTTATTGGTCACAAACCAGAATAGTTGTCATTATAACAGATTGAAAGAATAGAATCATGAACAAAACAACACAAAGCACATAGTTATACACTGACACAAATTATTAAATCACTACTCAACTCAACTTAACAAAGCCTTTATCCTAATTATTTGTGCCGACTACATGAATCATGTTTATCCATTGTACTTTATTAAAAAGATATATAGATGCCAATATATCATAATAAAATAGGCACTGATTACTCTTAGAAATAGGCATATAAAGATAGAAATGTTGATGAGCAAACTTAAAAATAAACACTTTAGTACATGAAACAAATTTGTGATGAGATTTTAACAGGGTAAAGACACTGCGGTCAAAAGCATAGGAACAAAATTCTGCAGTGGGAAAAATTTCAAAAGTTTGGAGACTGATTAGTTTCACATATCAATGACATCGCCCTTTAAACAGTTCTAAAATCAAAAGTACAAAAATCCCCAATTTAGAAGCATTCCAGATCTTTTTTTTTTTTGTAAAAGGAATAACAATCTCATTCACATTAACCGACTGGCTCCCTTTCTCTGTCCAACACGCATGAGATCAGGAAATGACAGAAGTCGCTCAGTTCGGTGATCTTGAGTCGCTACAGACCGAGAGGGAACAAGAGTAAAAGCATTTGAGCACCTTATTTGAAATGCTAAAAGGCCTGATACATCACCAGGAGATAGGTGCCAGCGTACATTGTTTTTTCTTTCGGGGCCACGGGGGGATCATTTTTGTTCCCGTGTATGCATCTCTCTGCATCTAAGTGTGTATATGATGTCTTCATCTCCCCTTTTATAAGTGTCGTTGTGTCTGCATACCTTTTTTCTGCACGGTATTGCTTCTCGTAAATGTCTCATTCTTTCCACGCTTGTTGAAAGCACACTTGTTACTGTTCTGATATATGAAAATGCACTTCCAACTCATTTAGAGCATGGCAGTACAGGAATGGACTTCAAAAATTTAAAGAGTGTGGTTTGTGGGACTGACAAGTATGGCCATACAAGAAATGCCTTAGAAGTGCTAGAGAAATAGAGGTCTTCACAGTTCAGACAAGAGAAGTGGTGATCACATCACTAACTTAGATGAATCAGTGGTA